GGGGTCCAATACCCCTGGACCCCCCCCGTAAATACGCCACTGGTTATGGATTTACGCCCTAAAGTGTTCTGCTTTGGGTAAATGCGCCCAAACGTATTTCCCCCATTGGTAATCGGGATTTGACGTAATATTAAAGTTGGTAATATTAAACATTAGTTTAATATTGCTTAAAATTAGTTAACGTAAAAAAATTATTTTTTATTAGTACCTACTTTTATTTTCTATCGACTGCAAATTGTTTTCCTATCCAGGTTTCATTTATTCCCGGGGATTATCAGCTACTATATAATTATAATCAAACATTCTTAGAAATATAAGCGGACAGGCTGCAGTATTAGGTTAAAATCTCAAAATATAATGATCAGGGCATTAGGTATAATTACTGTGACATTTTGCTTGTTAGATTAGATTAGATTAGGAAATTATGTAGGCATATACTCAATATACTCAATGATGAGGTGTCGAAGTACATTTTGATTTTGATACCAACAAGTGTCTAATAGATGACAAAGCGAGATCCTCGGTTTTTTCAGATTTTTTTAATCAGATTTGTTTGAACTTAAATGTAGCAATATAGGAATATACTTACATCATTTTATATCATTATATTTCTTTATTTTACAATACTTACTAATAATTTAGTTTTAATAAAAGTTTTATTCTAATCCTATAAAATGTTTAACAGATAAAAGAATTGCTTAAAAAAAAAGCCGAATTGTTGGTTATCGATGAATCAATGGATAATGAATTACGTGATAGTAAAAATATATTAACCAATTTATCAAATCATGAGAATCAAAATCAGGTAATCTTATTAAAATTTTATTTTTTATGCATTGTTGTAAATTATTTAAAATCAGTTAAAATAGAGACCTGTATTATTAAAATATTTTTCAATAATATTCTTACAATTATGCGAATCATTGAATAATAGTGATTGTAACTACTATAATATTTAAATATTTATATTTTGTATTTTTTCATATTTGTATACTCCAATTTTTTTGATAGAAATTGATCATAGCCAACCGCCAACAACACGAGACGGAACAGCATATGCTGATTGCAGCTCAAAGAGACAACGACTGTTTATCCAGGGAAAATAGAATATTGAAAAATAATTTGAATGAGTTGATCGAAAATCAAAATAAAATGGAAGTATGGAATATTAGGATAATATTTAAAATGTATTATATTTATTACAATATTGAATATTTATACTTATGATTATTACTTATTGGTTATTAGATATCGCTTATTCAAATCGTGAGCTATGAACCATCAATTTATAAGTTCAAAATTATTAA